TCGTTAGCTGAAGCCATCTAGTTCTGGAGTTTTCCTTGCTATTCAGTGAGTCGTTTGACATCGAAATAAATGCACTAACAGATAGTTTAGCTAGAGTAAATCAGGTCGAACTGTCAAATAAACAATTACGTTGCATTGTCTAGAAAGGAACATAAATTTCTTTAGCTTTACTTTCTAGGTTATATAAGCTAAATTAATCAGAAATTTGAGCTATGTGAAAAAGAGACAAACGCACAGAATGGCGCCGCCTGGTGTGTGATTATAATAGAGAAACTTGTTCTGATAGCGGGAGGTACACACATTTCTATGAAAAGCCGTTTGGTAAGAGAGGCCGTTTACGACAAAATTAAATACTTCACTTGCACATACAGCATATATGCTAAGCACTTAAACACATATACATTCTATCATTCTTATACAGGATTGGACAGTTAAACACTGGCAAATAGTGTTGGACGTTTCATGCCTATATATGGTGACCAGTCTTCACTGATTGCACATTCCATCAGTAAGAGCAGAGCAATAGCACAGCTGCACATAAAATATTGTGGTCCACCCAAAATAGTGGGAGACAGAGGACAGCAAACCTTTCTGGTATATCGAGACCGAAGGTATCCAGGGTAATGTCGGCATTCCACCGACAAAGGACAGACCCACATCCAACAGGAGTAACTGTGGACATAAGATGGGTGCCGTTGAAGTATTCCGCTTTGCCCTGTACGGCTTCTCATACATTTCACTTGTACTGATTGCTTCCTTTATATTTGTGGCGTGTGTTTATAACACCTGGAAGCTGATGGTTTCCTAACTGTCATCGGTGTGTGGAAGTATTTAAATAACAAATTTTCCTATAAAAGCCTAACTCCGTTAAATAAAAATGTATTGAAATGTTTTGCTTTGAAAGATAAGTAGGATTGTGAATTATCAACATGGAAAAGATCAATAACACTATGTGTTTGTTCTGAGGGCAATCTAGATGAAATGATCAAGTCTGTACAATAAGATACGATGGACTATCACATCAAAAGTGACACTTTAGTTCAGAAGAACAGACATTAATAACACAGTCAGAAAACACATCACTCGTTCAACTGCCAAGAACTGTTTCAGTGTTATTGACATGATATAGATATTGCAAGTTGTAAGGGAATAGAAAGGTGTTGAGCCACACCTCTCACTAAAATTTTGCATAAACTCTAGACAATATGCAATATGTACATTTTTGTTTGATAAAATTATTGACAACGACAATGAAGAATTATGTAAAGGTGATTCATTCAAAATTAAATACATTTTTACTGTTAAGTAATATATTTTCAGTACTCAAATTTGAGCTTTTCAGCTTTTTTCTATCTTTAGTTTCCCTCTGTGGATTAGGGATTTGTGCCTGTGTTGAGATGGTTTTGGGTTAGAATCTCTTGACTGGCAGAATAATCACATCCCTTTTGGGCCTTTAAGCAAGACCCTCAACCCAAAATGCTCAAACTATCCCAAGCGCCTACAGATTCAGGAACATTCAAAATGCAAAGCCTTTAATCTTGCTGTCATGCCCACAGGGGCGGGACCAGACACTTGCCTTTCTTTTATCACTTCAAGACTTCAAGACTTTTTATTGTCATTGTACAGTTGCCTGGACAACGAAATTAGCTGGCAAGACCACTATGAGACAGGCAGTCCCCAGGTTAAGAACATCTGAATTACTGACACCTCGTACTAATTAATGGACTGTCCTTCCATCCATCCATCCATCCATCATCTTCCGCTTGTCCGGGGTTCGGGTTGCGGGGGTAGCAGCTTCAGGAGACTGGACTGTCATAAAGTCTATTATATAGAAACTCAGGCAGTACTTTGTGATGCTTGTGAAACCATTCAGTGGACTGTCAGCTCCAGGTACAGTGTAGTGTGCCATGTTGTTTATGATCCATCCATCCATCCATC